CAATATTTCGTGTAATTCTTCTTGGGTTATTTCCTTGTCTTAACTTACCTCACGTAGTGGCTCCTTATCTATCAATAACATCCCAGGCAGGAATCCTTACTTCCTTTTTTTTTTTTCACCTCGTGCTTACATAACGTTCTGGAATCATAGCATATCTGTAACATTTGGATAACTCCAATCTCATCCCTTTCTCATTTTTATCACATTCTTCCTTTATGATTTGATACTCCCCCCCTTTTTTAGGGGGGGGAGGGGTTCTAAGACTTGGAGCTATGACGACCCGCCAATAGATGTTTTTCCTCTTCATCTTTGGCATCCTTTCACATTATTAATGAACCTTACTCGCCTTGCGGTAATCCTTCTGTACCAAGGATAACAAAATTCTTCACTCGCAATGGTGACACTTAGGGTAACTGGCACATACAGTCCCCTAAGCTTAACTTTGCTCATGTTGCTTGATTTAGGGAAGCGTCTCCCTGAATGACCATTTTCTGAATTCATCATGGATCTTACTTTTCCTTCTGGCCATCACGTTAGAGTCACGAACTTATTTCTCGAAATGAGGACATGACTTTATGGCCTATACTCTTTTGTTGTCTTAAGGCCTAGCACCTCTCGTCTCTTCCTTCACCTGACTATGGATTCGGTAATACCGTCATCTTTTTGATCTACCGTTGTCGTCCATGTATCACATCTCACTCATAATTCTTCCATATCTCTCTTCTCATTACTTTGCTAATATTCCTGCCTATCCCTTTCTTGTGAAAACTTCAACAAGGCATTCGTTTGTTTTTAGCTCTCCTTGCTTCATTCATCGGCTCTTCGGGTTGCTCAACGTCCTTACTTACTAGGGAGGAGAGACACACTAAGATAATATTTATAAAGACTAACGCTGACTAAATGTCAACATAAAGCTGGGCCGGCAAGGCCGTCATAATTACTACAACTGACAAGCCAACAAAATATACGTACAGGGCCTACAAGCCCAACATATTGCAGTAACTGACAGGATATATCTACAAGCCTCTACTGATAGATGTACTATGATCGGAATAGGGCCCCGACCTACCCATAACCTATCTACATATATGCACAAGATATACACCAAACTGCTAGACCCGGTAACTCCGAAAGACGAGGATCTTACCGATAAGGCCGAACTCGGGCAAACACCTAGTGAGGAGGCCCACCCGTCTTTCTATCTGAACCTGCACACATGAAATGCAGTGCCTCTAGAAAAGGGACGTCAGTACGAAATAATGTACCGAGTATGTAAGGCAATATACTGAAAGCTTAAACTGAACTAATAATATAACAACTGCAAGTAGATGGAAGTCAAATATAATATGAAGATATGCTTACCTGCTGACACTGACTCAACTCTCTCAATATAGTAAGTAAAATAGTTTTCCGGTCCTATAAGGCTCGGTATATGTATATATATATATATATATATATATATATATATATATATATATATATATATATATATATAAAACTGCTCTGCCGTAGTAGGCTCACTCATAGGCGCTCGGCCATACTAGGCTCTGTATCTCGACCAACTGGGCTCGCTCATAGGCGCCCGGCCACAGTAGGCTCGGTATATAACTTACCATCTGATCAGAGGTTGCCCAATAGGGGCCTGCCCATCGATTATAACTCGATGGTAATGAAAATAATTTAATATTGTATATACAAACTCTCTGCTCTCTTGACTGGAATAAGAAAATACTCAATTGAATATGAAGTCCCGATAAGGAGACTATTATAACTTACAAAACTAGGAAAATCTACGTAATTTGCGAGACTAGCAAAATATACGTAAATTCCGGGATATGAATTTTTCTTTATGCCTCGTTATCAAACTTGTGTAATTACGAGGTCAAGCCAAAATGAAGGAAGGGCTTAGCCTTAACATATCTGGAGTAGGGAAAAATTCGTGTGATATTTCCGGAAAAGGTTGCACCGTACTTCTTTAGATTCGCAAAAGTTTACGTTGGACTGTGGAAGTTTTACGTTGCTACCTGCCTTAAACACGCTACTTAATGTGTACAAATTCTTAAGAAAATCGCTAAATTTGTAGGAATTCGTTAGTTTCTGGTTTTAAGGATTTGGTTGAATATCTCTTTAAGAAATCTCCTCTTTGAGCCAATATGAGGGGGTAGTCATTTTGCCTTGGAAAATCTTAGTATTAGGTGTAATTTAGCTAGCACCTTAAATTGCCACCTACCCAACATGACAAATGAGTCATTTGGGTTGGGTGGTGGCTTGATGCCACATAGGGTGGGGGAGGATTTTTATTAAATTTTATCCTATAACTAATAATTAATTAGGTATTGTCCCGCTACCCGATAATTAACCAATTACCCACATAATTAAGAATTATTTCAAATTACTTAAAATTCTACTTATTTTTAATATACTTTATACATCACATTATCACGGTCATATGGTACCTTGTATGGTACTAGTCCATAAATATCGGGTATTATCGCTCGGCCCGTATTTTATCCCAAATCGACAACTTGGACTAAAATTCATTTTCTTTGACTTGTTTCTCCTCTCACCTTCACGAATTTACTCATCACTTGTTTGAAATAGCATAATGCTTATAATCTTGAAATAATCTCACTCCCGATCTTACCTCGATTAACTTACGACAAAACTCAAACCTACGAAAATGCGGGATGCAACATATTTTCCCCGGCCGTTTGGTTGCTTGTTCTCCGGCGGGGGACTCCGTGAAGAAACACTTGTACCCGAAGCAGTCCCGGAGACACCTATTCGAGTAAGTGTCTCCTAAAGCAGCCTCGCTGCATTAGCAGGATCAGCCAAAACATCCTCCTCGGGGACGATAACCGAGCCCGCGGGTAGACCTTAATTCGGCAATGAGAAAAAGGATTAATTAATTTACTCACACCAAAAAACAAAGACGAGATGAGTCTCTAAGTTACTATGATTTTTGGCCTTCCATCCATATTTAAAGGCCAGTTCTTTCTACGTGCGGGTTTCGGGCATAGTGACGTCCAAGATTTTCTGGACCCACTAGTCCAAGCCTTCAATCCTAGGTGGAACCCATCGAGTTGCTGAAATGGGCGAAGGAAGGAGGATCAATACGCATATGAAAGAATTTCTAATAAAAAAAATTATTAAACAATGGGCTTATGAGTGCGGTTCCATAATTCCAGAAAGGATGAAGTCGTTGCCGGAATGACATTATTGGTGGCAACTGCAACGAACCGTTCCATCCATCCATGATCGTTGTCATCATCCATGCTAGATAATAGAGCATGGTGGTCGTGTTTGCTGAAGTTTATTATTCCCTTGCGGAAGATTTTGGGGAAATAGAGGTTCATCACATGAGCTAAGGAAAGCTCCTCTCTTGTCTCTTGTCTCTTGCCTCCACGTAGAAAGACTTACTTGTGCCAAACACACTTGGTAGCGGGAGCAGAACTTCGCAATAATGGAGTCAAGCCCTCCACTCAAAGAAAACGCTCCCACAGTAAAGGGATACGTGTAAAAATATGTGAAACCCTCCTTGGGTAGAGTTACTCGCTCTATTGGATCGGGAGCAATAATGCCCAAATCTTGACAGCGACAATCTTTCTTCACAGCAGAAATACTGAAAAGACGGATGGAAGAAGGATATCACCCAACGGCCCACGTACGAGGGTTAGCAGAAGGAAACTTCTCTTCGAAATCCTTAGTGGTAGCCAGGCTCTTTGGAATAATGGTACTCACCGTAGCAGGAGCGACATCATCAGCTTTGCCTTGGTTTTTTTAAAGAACTATATTTTCTTGAAGAGAAGGCCATTTTTATCAGAAGAAGGGTTTTCTTTTTCTCAAAGAAGGAAGCTGAAGAAAAGTTAAAGTCGGAAGATGATTTGAGTAAAGAAAACCTTAGAAAATTCAGAGTGTTATGAAGTATAATGAAGGAAGTTGATGCGTATAAGTAAAGGTTTAAGCGGCTAAACTCATGGCTATAATTACCTCGATAACCGGCAAAAGTTATGCTGAATCGTAGGATGACACGTGTTCGGGGCATTAAATACGGAGAGACGTGCGTCTGATCAACCAGAAGTCTCTTAGAGGGGTATGTGAAATTCCCGCAAAAAAAATGTTTCTAACAACTTCCCGATGACACAAAGTTATGTCATCGGAAAGCAGGACGACTATCTGTATAGGGTAAAATATGCTATGTTAAGTAATTGCATAAGAACGTGACACGTGGAGCCGAAGGAAGAGGATAGCTGAAACCGAAGATAATTGTTCTGTTTGTTACCGGAAAGAATGATGCTATAAAGATGCAATAAATACCTGCTATTCGGTAGCATTTAATAGAGAATATTCTACAATATTTAGTATACTGCTCGTTACAAAGAATTTGTCATTCATGCCCGCCGTTGCACATTCTTCAGTAGCCCTCATAATTGATATTAAAGAGGGGCATGATCCTTGGACCTTGTTCCCTATGTGCAATTATAAATAGTGGGCTCTATTATCATTGTAGGGGACACAATTTTATGGCAAACTTATGCTATAATCTATTCAAAGCTTTATACAAATTTACCTTCTTACCTTTTGATTTCAATATTTTTGTGATCGGATGCCTTGCTCTCGGAATTACTGTTTTTGCTATTTCATCTTCATCTTAAGACTAAGTATTGCATATTTCTTCAATTCTTTTGTTATTTCAGGATCGAATTAATTTACTTGTCTAGAAATCACATATAAATTCAATTGTACCGTATTACGGGAAAACTGAAACATATTAGAAAGAAACTCACCACAAACGTAGAACATTCAAAGCAACCACATGACATGCAATCGAACCATACACCATACACGATTAGAACAACATAACTTGAAAAAATAAAAAAAGCAACAGAATTTAAAGTACAATGAAAAAAAAAACACAATTTTAAAAAAAATGCTTGTCAACTTTAAAAAAAAAGAAAACACATTTAAAAAAAAAAAAAAAAGTTTTGGCTCGGAGAAGCTTGGGGCCAAACCGGCTTAAATGATCTCATTCCTCTCCTTTTCCGTGGCCGAGCAAGAGAGTGGTGGTGAAGGGCAGCTTCACGATCGAGATCTACTCATTTATCCTCTCTGATCGGCCGATCTTCGGTAATCCCATACTTCCCTCTTCCTATTTCTCCTACAGCTTCATGAAAATCTAGTTTTGCCTATATGTGATCTGAGCTTCCTTCTATCTGTTCTTAATTTGCCGATTTTATGGACGTTGTTATTGGAATCCGTTTCTCTGAAATTTATAAGGTCATGTTATGATTTTGCAACTTCATGATTGGTTACTTCCACTTCTCTTGCCGCATCTCTTTTGTCTGTTTTGCTTTTTGTTCTGATCATCTTGCTAAATTCAAATAAAAGCGATGTAACATCAATTTTCGTAACTGAAGGTGGGTTTGAATGTTCTTCATATTATACGGGATGACATTGCAGTGTGATTTTTAATCACAAAATGTAATATCTGGTGCTAATGTTATGATTCTTTGTTTTTTCTTTTTGAGGAACATCAGTCACTAAATGATGCTCCTTGCTCTCCTTCGCGATCTCCACGATTACATGTACCATTATTTGTTTCATTATAACTGATAATTTGTTTGGATTCATAGATCATTATGGAGAAGTGTGTCAAAAGATAATTGTAATTGGGTAATTGCTATGCTGTGAAGTTGTCACCAGAAAAGGCTAATTGTGTTTAAAGTGGTAAACTTTTGTCTGTTGGTTACCCAAATTAGAATTGAGAAGAAATTGATGGGCGTTAGTGGGTATCATCAGCAGTAAATATTTGTTTTAAGTATCGATAGAGAAATAATAAGGACAGGAAAACTGGAAAAGGGTTTTGGCCTTGCAATTGCAATACTACATATGGTAATTTTTTTGTTTGGAAATTAGCTGCTTTCTTAGATTTTTTACGAAAGGCAGTAATGTGCTCCCCCCATATTATATTTTTTTTTTCAGATTCACAGAGATGGGGCTGTCTTTCACTAAACTCTTTAGTCGCCTCTTTGCAAAGAAAGAAATGCGTATTCTTATGGTTGGTCTCGATGCCGCTGGTAAAACCACAATTCTGTACAAGCTCAAGTTGGGTGAAATTGTTACCACTATCCCAACCATTGGTATGCTTCCTCCTGTGAAATTTGTTCTCTTTTTCCTTCTTTTTCTTTTTAACATATATTGACTTTCACCATTGCACATGATTAAAAGCTTAACTCATCATGGGGTGTGCTACTTAGGGCTGTTCTAAACCGAACCATAACCGTTAACCGTACCGCAAAATTGGCTTATTGGTATCGGGTTATCGGGGTAATGGTTGGTAACAGATTGACCGTTAACGGCTTAACGGTTTGGGGGCGGATTACTTAATTTCCCTATTGGATAAACCGTTAATCCGTTAAGAATTTTTATATTTACACTTTTCCCTCTATGTATATAAAGTACTATTTGAAACCCTATATCCTTATCCATAGGAATTTATGGGGAGACAAATAAGGGTGGCACACAGTAAAAGATTTCTGAGAGGAGATAAAAAAGAATTTCCAGTCCCAAGAATTATCATGCGAATTGATCTTTGTGGCAAAATGAGCTAAAGGTGGTGGAATTTGAAAGTTATTCCTATGAGGAAGCGAGTTTCCATGACCCTTTGTTTGTGTAGGAATCCAGGCTGATATCTTGAAAATTTTTGTGTCAGAAATTGTAATATGGCTTCATATATGTTCCCTATTTCTTTTGTTGCCTATGTTATACGGATTATGTATTCTTTGCTATCTCTTCTTTTTGTTTAGCGGTGAGGACATAATGTTTGATAAGGTATAAGTTTCAAGACAAATCTTCACTATGGTAATTGAATGCAATCCGAAGGTAACATATCCTAAATTTTCCTGTATCTCAAATTCTCTAATTCTTTTTATTTTATTTTTAATTTAGCCGATAAATTGCCCGACAACAGCCCGCTAATCGTTAATTCGTTACCAATCCACCTGATGTCTTATTGGTTGGCTAACAGATTACTATATTTATAAACCAATAACCGATAAACTAAACCGTTAAGCATAAATATTCGCCCGATCCGTTTGATAAGCACCCCTAGTGCTACTGCTACTTGAAACTTGAAAGTAGGTTATGTTGATCCATATGGCCAAAAAAATATGCTGTGTCTATCCATTGACTACTGTTATTTGATAGGGTACTTACAATGAGTGCTTAAGTTTTGAAAATTACTTGGAATCATTTGTGTTTACATGTGTTATGCGGGAGAGATTGTAACCTTTGAGATTGGGGAGGATATGAGTGCTTAAGTTTTGAAAATTACTTGGAATCATTTGTGTTTACATGTGTTATGCGGGAGAGATTGTAACCTTTGAGATTGGGGAGGATATGTCGGGGAATCAAGCAATTTTCCTTGGTTGCTATTTGTGCCTTGACTTTTGTATTTTACTCAAATGCTTATCATGTGTGTTGTTTCGAAGAGATTTCTTAATCATGCGAAATTTGTAAGTTCTAATTGCAATATAATTTAAACTAACTTTTATTTCATTGGTAGGCTTCAATGTGGAGACTGTTGAATACAAAAACATCAGCTTTACTGTGTGGGATGTTGGCGGTCAGGACAAGGTACTAGAAGTTCTTATGCCCTTAATAAGTGTTTTTGTTTTATATTACCTGAGATCTTGCGGTTCTTTAGTTCTCCATGGTTCACATTTCTGGTAATGAGGGTATTCTGCTGCGCGGGTTTCCGTAGTTGTATTATTTGTGTAGAATTCACTCATGGTTAGGCGTATCTGTTTTTTCCCTTAGTTATGAGAGACTAAACAAGTGTGTTGTGCTGGTGGACGCTGTAGCGGATCATACTAACCCATTTGTCCTCTTACCCCCCTGCTTCACTAATGTCAGTTATTTGCTTAGTCTAAAATGTGATTTATTTCATTACATTGTACAAAAACTCCCGTTATGTTCCGAAGGTCTGTACTGTGACTAGATCTGCAGTCCGGTAATAGGCTGCTCGTATCCCTTTGCTTCTTCATGATCCGCCTCTGTACTCTAATTAAAACATGAACGTGCCAGAAAAGGAATTCCCTAAGACCTAAGGTGCAAGTATAATCTCATTTTATCTCGATTTATATGATTTATCATGTCTGGAACCTGGATTTTTATGAAGGTATTAGGGGAATAGGAAGAGATCCATCTGTATGCACACGATTTAAATGTGCCATGTACCAAAAATGAAATTCCAGCTCTTCTCTTTTCCGACAGTCCTTTGCTTCCATGCCACCATTAGATCTCATAGCTCAATTATCCCTGGTAGCAATCTATTGCTATTACCACCTGCTCGTGACCAGCGGTAATTAGAGGAAAGCTCTATTTCCCTTCCCATTCCTGCTCTCCTCCAATTTTACATCCAAGATTCTCTTGAAAATTGTTCCACCAATGCTTAGAAAAGCACACACGTCTATCAGCCTTTGTAATTTCGTACTGATGATAATTACATCTCATCTTTCTTGTGTATTGTGAGCAGTGTTTTAAAAGGCTTTATTGGGATTCGCCTCGGGGATCGCCTCGCGGTGGGGCACTATAAAAACACTTTGAGGCTCACGTGTGGGGCTTAGTTTTGTGAGAGACTTACGCCCCAAGCGTCTTACTGTGCGCTCGAAACACGCCTAACGCTCACCACACGGGGCTCGCCCAATAGTCCTAGCGCAAATCATGTATCAAATTCCCTAATTAATACCGTTGACACTCAAAATTCTTTAACAAATGAAAAATTAAAGTTCTATTTATCTATAGAATTATGAAGATTGAGAGTTACTCAAAATAATGATTATAGTATTATATATTTACTAATTAAGAACATCAAAGAGTGAATATCATTTGAATGGCCATTTTTTTAATCTCACTTACTATAGATATTCATATTTAGTTATGTCTCTCGAAATTATCAAACTTTTATTATTTTACTATTTGAAAGAAACTTTATATTTTGTCATGAGGAGTAGTATTTTAGATTACAGTGTTGATGGAGTTTATTGCTTATTAATTTTTAGAGAGGTAAACTATATAGTTTAATAATATTATTTTTAAAATACTTTGATCTTTTAATCATTTGAAGATAAGTCGTTATGATCTTTTTTTAATTCTTTTTAATTTTCTTAAAAGTTTAATGTACTTTATATATTTTATGCTATTTTATTAATTTATAAATTAAAAATTTAAAGATCCATGGGGATTATGTTCAAGTCAGGTTGATCCCATGGAAATCTGAATATCTGCTTTTTGGAAACAATAAAAAGATTTTTCAAAAAGCTATAAACCAACTTGAGTAACGTTTCATAATTCTTCCAAAAGAACAACTCCTATTAATCCGAATCTTTTTTTTATACAGTAAATTTTGTAGCAGGATTGTTCCAATTAAATCGTTGGATTCGGAGAAGTTTGTAGTTGTGTCTCTTGATTCTCGACTATCGTGATTACTTTGGAAAAGTATTTCATGAACAACTATTTCAGAAATTTCAAAAAATGAAACTGTTCAAGTTCAAAAGAAAAGGAAAAAACAAGAGAGAGAATACCCCAATAGAGAAACCCTTTTGACTGGGGCACCGTCGTCAAAGCTTGGTTGTTGGAGTCCATTAGCCTGATATGCCCGTAATAAAACTTTTTTCTTGGTTCCATGTTGTCTTAGAAGGGTAGTTTTAGCTCCATGATTTCTTAGGCTAAACCTGGTTGGTTGAGTATTTAAAATAATAAGTGGACCTACAGTGGTTCTTTTGTATTTGAATTGTCTATAGCACCAATCTATATGGCCATATGTGGACCTATCATGTTTCTTTTGAATTGGCTATTCTACCATCTGTTAGTGGTTACATGCGTTTATATTTAGAGGCACAGTGTTAAAACTGTATTACAGTCTGATCGCGGAAGAGCTAAAAGTGTGTTTCTATTGTTTGCCTTTTGTGTTGTATTTGCAGATTAGACCTCTATGGAGGCATTATTTCCAAAACACACAGGGTCTCATCTTTGTGGTTGACAGCAATGACAGAGACCGAGTAATTGAAGCAAGGGATGAGCTTCACAGGATGTTAAATGAGGTGATATTGATATTTGTATAGTTGAAGTTACAGAAATCAATTTATGATAAACCTTAAACTAGACATCCTGCCTTGGGGTACATCAGTTGTTGATATCTAAGTACATTATCTGCAGGATGAATTAAGAGAAGCTGTGCTACTTGTTTTTGCAAACAAACAAGATCTTCCAAATGCAATGAATGCAGCTGAAATCACAGATAAGCTTGGCCTTCATTCGCTCAGACAGCGACACTGGTAATATACATGGTCACCTGCCATGTTGTTCAGCCTGGTTTTACTGTCAAGTAGCCTCTTAGATAAGAGTGGCACCTAAAAGACTCCTCTCTCTTCCTCTCTTAGGTATATCCAGAGTACATGTGCTACTTCTGGAGAAGGGCTATATGAAGGACTAGATTGGCTTTCAAACAACATTGCCAGCAAGGTACATGCAAAGATTGTTTCAACGTACTCAGCTTCTTCAATTTTCTCTAATAGTTTACTTTTGGTCCAATTTCAGGCCTAATGCAATGATGTGGTCGTGTGCTTCTCACTTTGCTATTTCTGGAGGAAAAAACATCATTGCGGTTTCATAATCTCTTAGTTTGGAGGTTTAAGTCTCTGTTCAGATCCGTGGTGATAGAAGTTAATACATTTCTTAAAATGTTTTCTGCCCTTCTTTCGCTCTTTACGGTTTAGTCATTAATGAGTAATGACATAGCTACTACATTGCTGGAGGTACATTGGGAATGTAATGATATTTTAGTATAATATCCGATTTTTGTAACTTAGTGCAGCGGTGTGCACCATTTGATGGCCTGTGCGTCCGATTTTGGAATGGTAGATCCAAAAAAGCAATAACAGAATAATAAAAGCATCGAAAATTTGCAATTACAAAGAAGAGGGTGTTACCTAAGTGGTCTATTGTCGTATCGGCTACGGAATGAAGATTGTTTTTGTCACGGTCTCAAATTCCTACCGTAGGACGTTGTGATGGCACATGATCCCTAAGATTAGGTAAGCCTAATATATGCTGAGTTATTAACATATTTAAACTAACCGTTAAACACGAACCAGTAAATGCCATACATAGCCAACAACCATCAATAGATATACAATATTCCAAAATTGATTGTATGAAGTCATAAGCTCTACCGGTTCACTAGAAATCTCTAAATACAATACTGTTCTGGAATAGAAATAAATAGTGGTAATCAAAGATAATAGAAGGTGACTTCGAGGCCTGCGAATGCGATGGCAGGTATACCTTGAAGTCTCCACAGCAACTCACAATCGGCTATCTAACAAACGACACTCTTCGAAGTACATGGATCTACACAAAAGATGTGCAGAAGCGTAGCATAAGTATACCACAACGGTACCCAGTAAGTATCAAGACTAATCTCGGTAGAGTAGAGATGAGGTTCAAGTCAAAGCACCTACATACATAATAACCTGAGCAATTGTTAATATAAAGCTAACAGAGGAACAATTAACAATGCACAGCTAAACATAGAAAGAGCAACAATATAATACTAGCAATGGAGAGGAACAATTAACAATGCACAGCTAAACATAGAAAGAGCAACAATATAATACTAGCAATGGAAAATAGAAACGACAAGTAACCACAAGAAGTAAACAGGTGATAACGTAGCAAGTAATTAGAACACAGTTAAAGTATCAGCGAAACCAATTAAGGAAATAAATAACAACCAATTAATCAACCGTCCTATCACAAGGTTACACAAGAATCATCCCGAGGCATCACACCTCATAATCACAAATCACGAGTCCCGAATCACGAAATAATAATCACATGGCACCTTGTGCCTACATTATCAATCACAACTGCACGGACGACTCTCATGCTGCACGGACGACTCACATGTTAATAGTAACAATATCTCTTATCCGTACGGACAACTCACGTGCCACCAGTCCAATCCGCACACAAAAAGCAGGTATACAATAATACATGTACATGATTAAATAAACATCAAAATTCATATCCTGGACTGATATAGGTGACATATTACGGTGTATGATTGTGCAAGTATACTACATACCTTAAGTAAACAGGTAAGATCAGAGACACTGAGTAGCACATTGGGTGACACACGCAAGATAGTTACCCCACCACACAATATCATCAATAACAATGCCCCAAGACAATCACAAATCATCCCCGACATATCCCGCCTTGTCTCGCCGCATGCACAACAGTAAAGTAAATGCCCATCTTGTCTTGCCACACGCGCATCAATAATTATCCCACCTTGTCTTGCCACATGCGCAAACCCAATATATATAGCATGCCTTGTCTCGCTGCATGTGCAAATATCAATAATAACAATAGCACGGACAACTCACATGCAAATACCCCGACAATCCTCTCAACAATTCCACATGTGTCAAAACAGAACACCACCACAAAACAACTCGTACCACACGTGTCCATATTCCAGAACATTGCCATAACAACAATATCAATACCACAACAAAACATAGCCCACGACTCAACAATACTGAGTGCAACAACAACAACAATGACACGAAAGTACGGTAAGTAGATCAACACAAGTATTACAATAACGCAATGAAACGGAAGAATAAGCTCAGCAATGAAAGAAATAACATGTAATGATGACTTCAAATAAGGATAAATCAACAATGAAAGAGGTAGCATGTAATGAAACTTCAAATAAGAATAACTCAACATTAAAAAAGCTAGCAACTTCAAATAAATCATATAAGAGTAAGCTTGACAATAAAAGATAGAACATGTAATGATGACTTCAATTATAGCATATAAGAGTAAACTTAACGATGGAGAATATATCATGATATGAAAACTTCAATTAAATGCACAAAAGAAGTCTAAGAGTCTAAACCACTTGATTTCCACATATAAGGTCGTGTACACACTCGTCACCTCGTGCACGTCTTCCATGTAATTCAAATAGTAAAAATTAAGCCAATCCCTATGGGGTAGTTACCACACAAAGTTAGGCAAGATACTTACCTCAGCTAGGCCAAATCAAGACTCAATAATACCTTTTTCCTTTATAATTCACTTCCGCTCGGCTCAAATCTAACCAAAATCGACTTAATAATATCAAATAATGCAAGAGAAACCAATTCCAATAAGTAAAGTTATGATCTTTGTACAATTCCTCAAAAGTCAACCCCGGGTCCGCTCGGTCAAAACCCCGGTCCAAGGGTAGATCTTGACTACCCATAACCTCACAAGTCCATATATGTATTTTATTTTCAAATACGAGTTCAATTCGACTCTCAAATTCTAAATGTTCATTTTTCAAAACATAGACAAAAATCCCTAAAATTTCTCTTCAAATCTCATGATTTATAAGTTAAATCTCATGTAATATAATTGAAAATTGATCAAAATCACTTACCAATGGTTGTATGAAAATTCCCTCTCCAAATCGCCTCCTATCAAGTCTAGGGTTCTAAGATATGAAAATGACACTAAAATCCTGTCTCCCAGCCTTATGTTCAGCCACAGGTGTCACAAATGCGACCTGGCCCCAAAGGCGACATCCATCACAGTCCTGCTAATGTCGCAAATGCAACACTATATTCGCAAATGCGAACAATGAACACTTTGCAAAAGCGAACTCATGACGATAGGCTATAATTACGTATTTTAGTCGCTTATTACACTCTTATTTACTGCACTTTAATTGAGTTTGAGCTTTAATCGCTAGTGTTTTGCACTAATTATATATTTTATGCCTTGTAGGAGTGATTTCGAGCTATGTAGATATTATGAAATGAATTCAAGTGATTTGGAGCTTTGAAATCTGAGTAAAAGCCCAAGGAATTAAGCCGGGATTGTGTTTGGGGATCAACGGATGATAGTCAAGAACGAAACGGAGAATCGAACGGGCATACGGCACATTGTCTAGCAAAATGCACGTAACTTTTCGCTCAGAACTCCGGTTGGGCTCCACAATATATCGTCGGAAAGATATTTGAAAGTGCTACAACTTTCGTGTTTTACACTTTCACTAATTCTCACTGCGCCGCGCCTGTGGAAATTTCCTGCAGCCTGTCAGAATCAGCTCTTTGAACTTCCCCACAAGCACATCGCGTGGCGCGTCGCCCCATGCGGCGCGCCTGTGCAAATTTTACAAAGCCAGAGTCCTATTTCGCACAGGAAAAGGTGTTTCATCTGAGCCCGACCCTATTTGGTATAAATACATGTAAAAATGCTATTTTGAAAAGGGGGACATACTTTTGGCATAATTTAGACCTAAGGAGGCAAGAACACACTAGGAGCAAGGCGTAGAATTCTTCTACGAATTTTTCACTTCCTTCTTCCTATTTTCATTATTGGTTATGAATTCTAGTATTGTAGTTATGCATACTATTATGAATAGCTAATTTGTTATCTAGGGTTTTGATGGAACCTATTGGAGGATGATTTTCCTGTTACGTTAATATAGATTTGCTGTAGTATTTTCTCTATTTGTTCAACCTCGTTATTTTTGTGGTTGGTTGAAGAGCTCTCAATTAACTGTGCCTATTTAGTGTGTATTACTCGGGAGAGAGTGCATATTTAGGTAGTTGTTGAATAACATCACTCCTAACGTACATGAGGGATCAATACGAATGGTTTAAAGGTGGAATTAGGGATAACGAAACCTTGGTGCGATCCGAGTGAGCCGTACTTAATGCCAGCTAGCGTAATTCGGGAGAATATGTCTAGTAAATTGTGGTAGTTATTCGGGAGAGAATTACGACACTCAGAGCGCTCATGATCGGTAGAGAAGACTTAGAAAAATTTATAGAAAACGTAGCGGAAAGGATTCCAACAATAGGGGAAATCATAACTCTAGACCTCCTTAATCTTGTCTCTAACCCTTAGTATCTTCAGTTGTTAATTTACTATTTTAATTTGTTAGTTAATTAGTTAAACACAAGAATCTTAATATCTATAAGTTAGGAATTGTTCAAGCTTGTCTTCTTGGTGATAATGAACAGCTGTAGCTAAGCCTTAGTTCTCTGTGGGATTCGACTCCGGACTTGTAAACCGGATTATATTTGCAACGACTGCTTAGTCCTTTTTATAAGGCATAGTTGGGCGTGATCAACTCATGATCGCAAATGCGGAACTCCCCGGCCCAGAGCATCATCACAAATGCGATTAAAAGTTTGAAAAAGCGAACCATGCAGCCCCCATCCAACCTCGCAAATACGATCCCATCATCGCAAATGCGAGACCTGAAGCACCTGTGCAAAAACTAGCAGAATTGAAGCTCTTTCAAACACTCCGGAACGCATCCGAAAGTCACCCAAGCCCTCGGGGCTCTATACCAAACATCAATATAAGTCTAAAACATCATACAAACTCGCTTGCGCGATAAAGATACCAAAAATAATATCTGAAACCACGAATTGGACATCAAAACGCATGAAATTTACATTGAAACTCAAGAACTTAAAAAAACACAACCACGTGTCCGGTTCCTATCAAATCAACTCGGAATGATATCAAACTTTGCAGACAAGTTCCTAATAATAAAACAGACCTATTCCAAGTCGCAAAACCAAAATCCAAACCCGAAAGGCATAAAGTCAAACCATAGTCAAAGCTAAGGAAGTTCTAAACCTTCAAATTGCCAACTTTTGGCAAAACAAGCCAAATCAACCTAGAGACCTCCGAGTTCAATTCAGGGCATATACCCAAGTCCAAAATCACTATATGAACTTATAGGATCCATCAAAATATCATTTCGGAGTCGTTTTCACAAAAGTCAAACCTCGGTC